GGCATTGATTTCAACTTGGCAGGCAAATTAAGATCGGTTTCAACGTGAAATGACGTATCACGAAGTAGTGACACGTCCACCGAGGAGATCCAATGCAGCACGCGTTCAACAGTCTGAACGGCAGTCAGTGCCCGATGCCACTGTTTCATTATTGAGAGCGTGCAGGGCACAAAAAAATGCCTACACCCACCACCCCAATTGCAATGTTCTGCTCAGCCAGCCCGCGCCGAGTCCGTTGATATGCCGTCACCTTAGCATCGCATTTTCGTAACAGGTCCCATGCAAACACCCGCGTAAACTCACAGGCATTTGTGATTGGTTTTCCTGGTGGTAGCTGTGACGCATGGTGTGCAATTGGCGGTTTTGGTCGTCTGTCAAACACGAATTAGTTAAACTGGTTGAGTAATTGACCTGCTGACTCGTATGTAGCCTCTCCAGAAAGCGCCTCTTTAATCGAGTTGAGGGACAGCCGTTTTTCATGCATGTCCGAATCACCTCGGGCCATCTCGATTGCGATACTTTTCTTGGCCTTTTTTGCTTTTGGTTTCTGTTTTGGTCGTCCACGAGGCCTCACCGGACTTGCGATATCAAAGTCGGTGGTGGGATCCACAGAAAGTAGCTGAATTTCACAGTCGTGCGACATAATCTCTCTTCGATACTTAAATGTATCCAATTGGTTGCTCGGGGTACCCGACTGCGCAGGAACCGCACCCGACTCGCCACTCAGTATAACCGACTGGTCAGGAATCGTACCCGACTGGTCATTCAGTGTACCCGACTGGTTACCCGACCTCATTTTGTAGCGCACAATGTTGCACAAACTGACCTTTACCAAAGACATCATGCGCCATAAACGAGAGGACCTTATACTTGGACACACTGGTCCCGTGTGTTGCATCCATGAGCAGAACCTCCGGAAAACGGCCGAGCAACTCGCGCATTGACTTGGTTTGGAACGTGATATACATAGCCATTTTCTGTAGACCCTCAAGAAATCATTTTGCTAAGTTTATCAACAAAATAGCTCCATGTAGCGTAACTTACCTTCCCAACCGTTGGGTCGATAAAGATTCTGCCAACATTCCCAGGATTCTCGCAGAACTCCACCATCCATTTCTTTTATCTTTTTGAGCTGGTGCTGGAAGATTGTTCTCTTGCCTTAAGGCGCTGGACGATGTTGTGTACATCGCGAATAGAGGGGTTGCATTTAGAACGCTCCTGGATAAACTTCGGGGTATTCTTTTTCTTGGCACCCGTTTTCCAACACCTCACCCTCAATGGCGGTTTGATTCGATGCATACTGCTCGTACGTCCGCCGATTAAGGTTATGGGAATGCTCCAAGTTACTTTTCGTGATGAAGAGTGCAAAAGCCCTCTTATTTTTATCTGCGATACGAACGCAGACGTTTACCTATTAATACGCACAAAATAACGCACACCACGAATTAATCACTAGGCTAACAATGTCGTCATTAATACCCAAGTGAATCAGTACCCGACTGGACCCAACTGGTGCCCGACTGACACCCGACTGGCAAAATACGTACCGAAGCCTCGCAGCCCATGGGCCTTGTTTCCTGGCGTGGTCGCTTTCCTTGCTCTCGCGACATGTATGCGCCAGTATGCGTACAGATTAGCTTCTGAGAATAGCTCCCCCACTCCGGCAGAATCAGCGATGCACTCGAGTTTGTTGATTGGATCTTCTTGTTCCGGTCCAAAACTGTATTGTTGGTTCGAATGCGAAAAAGCTAAATGAATGAAGCGTAAATATCTGTCCACCTTCAAATGAGCTGTCTTATAGCGAAAAATACATACCTGGTAGCTGTTCCTTTGATACTCCTTGAAATAAGCGTCGATCTGTTCCCACGACTCAAAGCACGTGTGCGTGAGAGGTGGCCCCAGCACAGTTCGGCCAGACCCGTTACTGAAGCTGCTTGACTGCCCAGCCGGCATCTGATTGGTGCTATCACCAATTGAAACGTCCCTGTGCTCATGAGAGTCTCTCACATCGCGAGGGTCAACGTCGCTCTGATCACTCTGGTCGCTTTGGTTATACGAGGCACTCGGCTCGCACCGCTTCCTCCCTACCTGGAGCCGGGGGTCCATTCGCCACGATAGACGTCTCGCGCTTGGCACGCGTCGAGCTATAAACGAATGGTTTTAAATGGATAAAAAAAATATACGTGTATACGTTGTTCGGATGAAGCATAGGGCTAGGTGGCATTTCATCGATGAAAAGGGAGATGGGCCAGCCGGGCACGATAGTCACTCTCAACTAAAAAATTTTTTTTTTTTAATAATATCATATTGCCTCAGAAGAAAATATTAGGTGATATTTTTATATTAACTGGTCTACAGGTGATATTTTCACAATATTAACTTTACCGATTTTGGAGTTACCATTAACCCCTGGTATCGATACCTAAAAAAAACTTGCGGCTTGAGTTACGTAGTCATCTTGGAGCAGCACCGAGCGCCACCGCTAGACGCGCGTTGTCTAGTAAGCGAATGGCATCACTCAAATTTCCTAGCATCTTGGTAATTGGAGAAAGCAAATCTGGCGTAGAGCGTATGCTCACAATTTGAGCTGTCGTGGCATTCCACTGAAAGCTCACACTGAGTGGCACGACAAGACGCTTCCCCAAAAGCTTTTCCGCGAGTGGAGCGAGTTTGTTGTCGGTATCAACGAGGTGTGAGAAGCTGATACGCATCAGTACTTCGGTAAAAGTGATGAGTAGTTTGACAGATGCAAGCATGGTAGTGCTGCCATCGTATGTGAGCTGTAGAAGCTGCACCGTCGTTTGCGGAATGAATCTCCACTCTTCTACAAGGGCGTCGATACCAAAGCCGCTGTTCACACTAACATCCGGAGCCATAACTCGGTGCAGGAAGCTCATCTGAACCTGGCCTTCTTTCGGTTGTTTGGGAGAGTTAGATATCTTGGACCCGAGTCGAAATAGTCGATAGTATTCAGCCACGACACTCCAAGGAGTCTCCTGGCTTGAAGTACCAAAAACGAGGCACTTGTAGTGTAACTCGAGCCGTTGAATCTCGGCTTGCAGACGTTGCCTATCGTGTTCCAAACTCTCTGCGCGCTGGTCGATCTTTTTGCGGTAGCGTTGCTGCGTTAGCCGCCGATTCTCCCGGAGCTTGTTTTCTGATTGAACAATGGCTTCCAGTAGCTGTGGTGTGATCTTGTGGCTTGGTATTTTACCACAAAGAGTAGTCATCGCCATCCTGATGCGTTTATCTGCCAAACCTAAGGCCGAAACGGGAGACGAAACCGTGGGGGTACGTGGAGTTACATGGCAGTAAAACTTTCCTGCCGCGTCAGCACTAGCTTCACTTCCGCGAATATAGCGAGTAGTGCCCTGGGCATGATGTCGAGTTCTGAAGCGCTGGTCACGGGATGGGTCGTAGGTACTGTCCATTTTGCTGAAGACGCTCTTGGTGTGGCAGATTGTGGAATGCATCATTTAGTTGATTCGAGTCAGGGAGTGGCAACGCGCAGGCTGTATATTGTCTACACTTTAAAGTATCGACAGTACATCATAGATAGTTGATTCAAGACACAGGGTATCAGTCATTCACCATTAATATTCCGCACTATATTAGTCACGCTACTGTGCATCCTGACGTCATCTTCTCTCGTTATCCAATAAACAGCCCTCTCGGATTGCGACCTACTGTGTTGTGTTGCGAGTCGCAATATGCGAGGAGTAACACGGTGTAGGTTTGAGATTGAGCCGTTTATCGCAATCAGATAGCGCTGTTTACAGGACCATGAGAGGAGGAGTCACATCTGGAATTTTAAAAAGTCCTTCTTACTGTAAAAATGTCACGGTTTTAAAAAACAACATAGTGGCACTTCCAAACTAGATTTGTTTTCGTATTTCTTTTCGAGGGTCTGTTGGCAATTCCCGTCACACTTGTTATCGACCCCCCCCCCTACCTTGACATCTGGAGTCCTTGGATTCAAGAGTTGAGATTTCCGTGAAGCGACTTCCAGCTGGGCCCAAGACAACTACCAACGATTTGCTTATTAAAGCCAACTCGATCCGTCCAAAGTTCTAGCAACCTGCGGGAGATCTCGTATCGTTTTTTACAAGCACTGCCACGGATGTTTCATCATTACCGACAAGCTAATGGTGCAAGTTTCTATCGTCTATGGAATGAGCTACGGAACGGGGGTGGCGGAGCGCTTCAACCGCTGTGACGATGTGGAGGCCCCGAATCACTTTTTATCTTTCCTTACCGATTCTTCTTTCGTCGCTGCTGTGCTTTCTTATTTAGTTCTCTGAATCGTTGGACGTTCCACATCATAGAAACTTTCAACTCGGCGATGGTATTTCAACTTGAAAGCAGCTTTACAGACACAAGTATCTATGTGTATACTGCGCTGTATAAAAGAGAAGTCACCAGCATGTGACGAGTTAAATCTTTGCGTTTGTGAAGATGAGGGAGTACCATGATCACTACGGGAACTTCCATTTATTAATATTAGACATACATTATTTATAGCATTGAACTTGGGTAATAGGTACAAGTAGTAGTAGCGTGTCCTGCGTTAGACTAGTTTAAGCTAAGCAAAACTGTTAGTTCTATAAACTTCGATAAAGATAAAGGTGCACTAATGATCTTGATAAGATTGACTGCAGTGGCAGAGGAACTCATCGCCTGCTTCTACCGACTCGTGGTACAGTTCTTCATTAAGGCATTGTAGTTTATTCAGTTGGAAGCACTCGTTGTTCTGATCATGTATGTAGTGAAGATCAATAAATCTATTACGACAAATAGTGAACTTAAAGTTATCGGATATCCGCTAATGCTTTTTCAAGCATCATGTTTTCTAGCATCGCCACAGCTTTTACCAAGATTCTCTTTGATTTTGGTTTCCAGCAGACGATGAAACGCCTTTACAATCGACTCTTGTGGTACAGAATCGGAAACGTGCACCGGCACGCGATGAATACTCATCTCGATCACTGTTCCAGACTCCATCACGTCGGCCGAAGACACCAGCCTGTCTCGTCCTCTTTTAGGCCGCACAAAATGCCTTCCCCTTGGAAAATATGTTTCCAGCCGATCACAACGCGTTTGTCTTGGATGAACCGTCTAGCTACGTACCAGTGGGATATCTGCACCGTATCCCCAGTTTCCAACACATTTGTGTCGGTGAAGCTCACAACGAGCGTGTTATTCGAGTCCTCGACGTTGTGGTGCTGCACGTAGCTTTGCTTGTCGTTGAAAAGATGCTCACCAAGCTTCCACAACGTGTTGCTGGTTTCAGACACGGACGACGGCAGAGCTAGTTTGGATCGCGGGTAGAAGAATTTCACTCCACCGTCGAGCTCTACTGTCTGGTCAATATCATGAGAATGGGACAAGTCTGTAGCCTTGAATACTTCATCCGTGTACAGGTAGTACCTTGTGTTCAGCTCGTGAATGTATCTGGCGAACGGTGAGGCTGTTCCCGGACAACAATTGGGCCCGTGCAGCGTTTAGTTAGGACCTCGCGCAGAATGTCGATGTACGTGGCTTGGTTGTTTATCAAGAAGCGAAGCTTCTGCTGTTGACTTTCAGCCGTATCACGTTCAACTCGTAGCCGACTAGCAAGGTCCCTCCAAAGAAATAGCCCCGTATACCAGCCGGCATTTTCTTTTGCCTTACGCTCCTTAGCCCTCTTCTCCAGGCGCAACAGTTCTTTACGCAATTCCTTTTCTTGGCGCCGCAGGTCCTCACGGAGGGCTTTCTGATCAATGCGGTAGGTTCGGCTCTTGGCTATCAGCTGGTCTTTATTCTTTGTGGGTTTGACATTTCGCTTAGGCAGCTCGACAGGCATTGCAGTGGGTTCCTTGGATCTTAACAGGACTTTGCTCTTCTGAAATTGCAGTCAACGCTTCGAAGCGTAGCTGTTTGAGTTTTGAGGGGGGCTCAGACTCTTGGAATTTTTAGAACGGCATTACAGGTCGTGGGATGGAGTTATGTTTAGTCACGCCTTTCATCTTGGCACGCATGCATACTGTAACTTTCATGAATCATGATAAGCATACCATAATGAAATAGAGTGGTCAGGGTATGTAGCCTAAACCGTTTGACCTCGATGTATAAGATACCCTTTATCATGTGACATGATAAAGGTGTACCCCAGCTTAAATAAAGAGTGACCCGTCACTGTTGTGGACACCTGGTACACGGTACCAGGTGCTCTAGGAGCCAGTCATGGCAAGACTAATACTTAGCTCCACCTAAGGTTTCCTCTAGTTTGTTAAGAACCCAAGCTTACCTTACTTATTAATATATCAGTCTTACATCTACTCTATCAAGTAGCAAACCGTTCCCCCTGAGGTCTGGAACACGTGGACTAACGTTCACTCGGGTATATTTACCCTTAAGCACTTCCTCTGTGCAAGGTGCTGTGTGACCCCGTCACACTTAGTTGCACTCGTAGTCAATCCTACACCTTCGCGTGTAGATTGAGCTACCTGAACACTCTGTGCGCTCAGCGTTTGAGCCACGATGGACCGAAGTGAGGTTCCTCGGTTGAACGACTCACAGTACGAGTCTGTTAGGAAGATGGGAGGCATCTTTGGACAAGATGTCCCCCGCAGCTTGGCGGTGGCGACGCCTATCGAGCAACACGAACGCGTGAGTGCGTTTGAGACCTACGAGTGTAGTCTCATCGCTCACGTCCACAGGAGTTTGGGGGCCTCGATGGCCGCTCCCCAGGCAACCAGGCCTAAGCCGATAAGGTTGGAGGTCCCCGTATTTGAGGGGAAGGAAGGAGAGAGCCTTCACTTCTGGGTCCGTGAGGTGGAGATCGCCATAAGGAGGATCTCATCTCGGACAAGCCACTTCGGGTGGCTTTTGCCCTGGCCAACCTTGGTGGACGTGCCAAACACTGAGCATACACCAGGGAGACGACATCTCGTGGATGCTTTGTATCCTGGACTCAGCTGTGTGGACAGCTTCGAGCCGCGTTCCTACCGGCGAACAACGAGTGTCGCCAGCGCTCACGCTTTCTCGCGTGTAAAAAAGGTAAACGTGAGCTGCAGGAGTACGTGCAAGAGATGCGCACGTTGGTGGCATCTCTGGCAGGGAATCCCCTACCTGAAGACATTAAGACAACAGTCTTCATGGACGGCCTGAAGGTCGGTCCTACTCGCACTCAGCTATTCCGGGTGCAAGCGACAGCTATGGAGGAAGCGAATCGGATCGCCCTCCAAGAAGAGTACAGCCACAAGCAGGCTGGTACTCCTCGGGAAGAGGAACATCGCCACGATAAGGATAGTGTTTCTCGGGAAGCGGAGTATCACAGCAATGACGCTGTTGCTCTTGCTGTCACGCAGCCCGTTGATACCGGTGTGTACAGCGAGCCCAAACCCATGGACTTAAGCACAGCCAAGCGTTTGATCTGATGTTACGGGTGCGGCGGACATGGACACTACCAGCGTGTATGCCCCTCACCAGTCTTCGGGAAGAAGACATCCCGTTGGCCCCAGGTTCGGTGGCGCAGGCACGGCCAGGTGGACGAAGACTCCCCGGCCACCAGTAGAGGCAGTATGCCCTACTGAAGAGCGCTAAGCCTTCGTGATGGGTGTGCAGGTTGTGCGCACCACGGGACTTAGCCCAGAGAGACGTAATTCTCTCAAACCGGTGAAGGGCAGTGGTGGGCTGCTGGTAGTACACTCGATGTACGGGAGTACGGTACCTCTTAAATGTTTGATGAGCTCTGGGGCGTGGATACGCCGCCGGAATGTCGCTTGGCATAGCGACATCCGACTGCACTCTATGTCAGAGTGGCGGTCGTGGGCTGGTCCTTGGTGGACTAGCCTTTGGTACGGTGAAGGAAGTACCAATGGTCCTCAACCGATCTGAACGGGTGGGCTCGATGAACCTGCTCACCGCGGTGTCGCTCGCCATGAACAAGATGGCTGTGCCGAACATAAGGCACAGCCCGGACTTTGGTGTGGCATGGGTGAGAAAGGCCTGCCAGTCAAGGTATATGGCGGAGCATTGGTGAGTCATGTTCCCACCTCCGTCATGCCTTGGGCGTCTGATACATACCGCCAGGACGCAGACGCGTCGCGGAGTTGTCGACGCGCCGACAGCTCTGCGAACAGCAAGACCATGCTACGCTGCGGTAATGCAATGGGCAGTGGTTATGCCTATTAGCGCTAACCAGGTGGGTAACTTAGAACCACACGGTCGCCCATACCTTAACGGAAGAGGAAGACGCTGGACGATCTTTCTGTGTGGGTTCCATAGTGCCACACGAGGTGTCGAGTGCCTCTGACGTCGTCAACGAGAAACATCATGACTTGAGTAACGACTTGCTACGTCACGTCAGCCGCCGCAAGAAGGGCCTGAACCTTGTCCAAACCGACGTCGCTTTAAGCGACTCGGGGTCCAGGTCCCGGACTCCACTGACTCGCTCGGTGGACACCAATTATGTCCGGTGTGTGTGCGGGTCTGCCACGCCAGCCGATCCCAACTGAACGTCGTCGCGCCGTATGGGCTTCGACAGTCGTGGTGCCGAAAGGCATTCACCAGATGGGTAACATAGGTCCACCTTGCGGGTAACAAGTTCCGCAAGCATCGAAGCTGCTTCAGGAGACCGACATTCGGTGCTCTGAGCGTGGGTAACAGAGTTCCACGCAAGGTCACTCAGCTCATAACTTATAAGAAAGTCGCTGTATGCGCTTCCGATGTGGGTAACAAAGATTCCCACATCAAGACGGGTAACGCAGCCGCAAACAAGGTGGATAACAGAGCTTCACAACCAAGGCGGATCACGTAGTTCCGCTCACAGAGCCATTGAATCGAGACGCGAGGATGGCTTGGCTTCGCCAGACGTGAGCAACTCGCTCGACGTCAAGTCACGCAGAATCAAACTGCTGGCTCAAAGGCTGGATGGAATCGGTCGGCACGGTCGACGCGGTCGTCCATACCGGTGCAGTGCACGAGGCGGAGAGCAGTCGTGCCTGCCAGTGGCTATCAGAAGCCACGAAAGACTCCGTAGTCTCAACGTTCAGTGGGGGAGAGGCTTGGGAATACCTTTCCTCTCTGGCTTTGCATGAGGCAAGTAGCTGTCGTGCTCCCAGTGGCTATCCCAAGCCACGAGAGCCTCAAGTGTAAGTGGGGGAGAGGCTCGGAAATACATTTCCTCCCTGGTCTTGAGGTAAAACCAAGCTCCTTACGGAACCAGTCGTCGATGCACATCGACTGCAGGCTGGAGGTAAATAGCCGGGCTAAAGCTACGGTAGCTCTAACCAAACAGGCCAGAGTGGAGACGGAAGCCACTGGCGCTAGGTGTCTCGTAATCGCTGATCGAAGCGACACCACGTCCACGCAAAGCGCGGACGTGGTGTAATCACGGCACCGGTCCCTTGGTCATGAACGGCCCGTCGAGTAAGGTGAACGGAACTCGCACCCGCTGACCAAGCGGTTGTGGTACGTGATGTACGCAACGTGCCGGGTATAATGGACCTTGGAGCCATAACTCAAGTGTGGTACACGAGTGCACACACAACTTACCAGGTGGTGGTCGAGGCAACGCACGCAGTGGTAGCTGGTGCCACACCGAGCATGATACCGTGATGATGGCTACTAGCTCACCATGGTTTGGTACCGCATGGGTAATCGGTGTGAATGCCAGATACCAACGTCGCAGTGGCATGGTGGTAAGATATGCCCACCACGGTTGAGTACCATCAAGTTACATGGTGCGTATGACAGACACTGGTATGAGTGCCAAGGATATGCGCCATACCACGACCCGATGTGCTCTGGACGTATACGCCGTGAGCCAACGCACGTACCGTGCATCGGCACCGGCTGATGTCAAGCAGCCTGCCAAGAGTTCCGCGTAATGAACTCGTCGTGCATGACGCACATGAAGTGCACAGAGCCCTTATGGTAACTGTGGTACGTGTCGTACACAGCGTACCTGGTGTCGGGCCCATGGACCTGTACACTGTGCTTGCTCATGCGTCGTGCATGATGTGAGTACTGACCATGAATCAGTTCAGGCAACAGCACAGAGAAGCTATTACCGCCAAACATGGCAACCTTGTGGTGGGCGAACCGCATCAAAGGTTAGTACCGGACGGTGCATGGTGTCGATAGGAGACACATACACCACGGCTGTGTACCGTCACGGTACACGGTGCCGATGAAGGACACCTACGCGCCGTTGGTATGACAGCCAAGACGCGAAGACAGCGTGGAAGAAGCTCCGCCCGCAAGAATGGATCCTTGCTGGAGCCAAAGGCATGGCCCGAGGTAAGCTGAGAGCTCCCTCTAGTGCTGGGGCATGTGTTGCCCTTCTTGGTGTCGTCCCTCGCTGGCGACACCATGCCTCGGACGCGTTCGCGAGGACTGTCGTGTCCTCTGGTGAGAACTGTGGGACAATACTACACGTTCGAATGCTATTGCACCCTGTGCCAAAGCACTGTACGCGCGCTAGAGCAGCTGCTCGAAATGAGCTGAAGGCCGAAATTCAAAGTCGAAAGTTGGACCTGCAGAGTCCCATAATGCGATGTGTCAGTAAATGTTTTGCCGGAGCGTCAACAATATTGGAGGAACGAGCAATTGAGACTGGTTTCCCCACGTGCGAGCATATGGTATCATATATTACGAAGAAGTTGGAGGATGCGAGTGTGCTACATCATTTACGCACTAGCGACGGTGTCGCCATCGATACGGTAGATACAGCTAGCGATGTAGTGTTGCATTCCGGAGAAGAAAGTGAGGGATGTAGTGAGCCTGTTTACCCTATCTATCAATGGGGTGGCGGCATGTACCTCTTTCCACAAGGCTTGAATCTGCCAGCTGGGAGTGCAGAGCAGGCTTGGAAGTACTGGTACTGTGTAGATTTGTCACATAATTTACCTCCCTTCCGACAGTTGCGTCCGGCTGATGTGAGTGACCCAAACCAACGGAAGCTACTCTGTGAGCTTCAATTCTTCATAAGGAAAACCGAGCTAAAAGCATCGGAGAGTCGTCTGGCAACAACAAAGTTTTCCTTTAGTACTGCAGCTGATATATTTCAACTGTATAAGCAGTCTATCGAGTTACCTACGTCGACAGAATCCAACCAATAAACGGCGCAAGGGACAGCTTGTCTGGGTATCCGTGGCAACACTACTTAGATAGAAGGCGAAAAGTGGTGCTGACACTGATGAGCAGTGAAAAGCTTGTGCCACAATCTGTGTCTACAGAACGTGTCTTTAGAATACATCAGATTATTTCCATCCTGAAATATCGATTATTTATCCTGTAAATTCCACCCATCTGTAAATGGTCGCTATCCATAAAAGATATGATATCTGCAAAAAGTTAATGCTGACCACCTAGTATAGACATTTCTATCTATTGCCAACGACACTATCTTTGCACTGGTTTGACAGGCTCAATGTGATTTAGATTTTTCTACACATTGATGACCACGACAAGAAATTGTGGGGAAAACGGATTCATTATTGCCCTACACTGCCTTATTGGGGGACCCGGGCCTTGAAGGCTCGCAGTTCTTCCGTCCTATCGGCGTGCAGCACAATTTGTGCTGCTAATGAAACACAGCATTTCGCTCTACAGGAGTATCAAACGTCAAGTATTAGATACATTTTTATCGATCAATACTTGATCTTAAAATTTACTCCACTCAAAAAAAAATGTGCCACAAGAGTAGGGGTGTGTGGTTGTTTGCAGCATGTGGGCCAGAGAAGTATTTGGGACGTAGATGCTGCAAACTCGACGTCAGCCACATGATATGACGAATTTTCTTTTCTTCAGTTTACAATATATAGCTTGTTATATCTTTTATTTTTTTCATTTTTCCAAATTAGTCTCCAAAAGACACTATTTCACTTTCAAATTTTGAAACAGAATGAGCCCGTCGTATCGAAGAGAATCTGCGAATGTTGCAGTCCTTGAACCTGCCAACAATTCCTCGCCGCTCAAAGTCCGCTCCAGCTCCAAAGCAAACACAGAGGACGGAACCCGTGAGGAGGTCGGGACGTCTTCGAAACGAATCAATTCAAGCGGAGAAGCGGCAAAAGAAGCGGCAACTCGAGGTTAACCGCCTGCTTCAACAACAGGAAAACGAGGAGGAGCAATCATTCCTGGTTGAGAGGCCGCAACAGAAGCAAAAGCGAGCTCACGACCAATGCGAGAGCCTACGAGAGCACGAGTTTCAGCGAGCACTGAGGCAGTATCCGCCCACAATCGCCCTCCCGTTTGTGTATCCATGTCAATTGAAAAAATCATTTGATGATGGAATGCTACAGTATTCGCCAAGTTCATCGCTGGAGATAGAGCTGGATGCTTTTCATTCACGTTGTCTAGGGATCCAGTTGTTGCCAGCGGGGAGGAATACCGTTGCGCAAGCATTGTGTCTGCCCGGGTATACGACGCGGTTCTCTATCATGAGCAAGATACATTTGTGGAAGAGTGCAATAACCTTGTTCGTGAGAGAAAGCGACGGCTTGCTTTACAGCCACATGCTGAAGCGTGAGAGTGCTGGTGTTTACTTCGACTGGAGTGCCCAAGCCCAGCGGCAAGAGATTTCGTCGGTGATGCAGCAGCTACGTCATACGCAGAAGGGGGATGAAGAGTTGCGACTGAATGACTCGTACTACGTAGGCGACCAGTCAAGTGCTACTACCCCAGTGCTGCTCTTTCTTCAACATGCTAAAGTACGTGCCGAGGCATTGTCTTGCCATGCTTCTTTGAAGGATTAACCGAATTGTGCGTGTGGCTGTTGCGTAGGGCCCCTACATTTACTGCGGAAGGATCGGATATCTTGGCTTCGAGTCCGACTCGGTCAAATTTCGATGGCAGCTGTTGGATGTAGCCGCAATGGACTGGATAGGCTTGATGTCTGTTCTCTGCAGCTAAAGCTATAGGAACGCACAATACCGGTATTTGATCTTACTACTACTAGTATTAATACATGTAACAGCACAAAGTCCTACAAGTCCTGTAAGTTCCTTTCTTAGTGAGCTTTTAGATTAACTTAAAAGTGAGACTCGGAAGATAATTTCAAGGGCAATACTTTCGATAATAGACAGAGCTAACGCACGGCACTAGTAAGAATAAAATGCAGTCTCCCCACGCTATGACGAGGGGATTGTCTGGAGTCGCCATTGTATCTGCAACTCCTTACCAACAAGACGAGTAAGGAGTTGCAGATACCATGGCGACTCCCCAGAAATGTACTGCGTTTAATTTACACAAAAATGACTGGCTTGTAACAATGCCTGGCCTTCGATTTAGGTTGTCTAGAGCAACTTTCCACTCAAAAAAAATATATTTGGCACAAATACTTCTCCGGCCCACTCCAATACTAAGTGTTCTTTCCATCTTCATGTACGTAGAAGTACATGGCTACAAGCAACATCCTCAGTGGGGATTCCTCACACCTCGCCGTAGTGCATTCCCACTGGCAGTACTACAGTAGTAAAGCCGTGGTCTAAATTAAAATCGACTGCGTACATTATTGATACTTCTTTTAGTGCTGCTGCTTCTAGTTAGTCTCCGAATGTATGTAACTATTCTGGACGTTGCGAGTAATTAGGTAACCAGTGCCCAAGATGCCGAAAATTGCGAGGAATAGAAGACCATACGCAATTCTCATGCCATAAACATCTCCGGTGAACTCAATCTTCTTAAGTCTCCCAATAAACTCGCCAATTCTCCCGACCTTCTTTTCTGTGAGAGCACCTGGGTTTTTCGCGATGGCAGTCCCAAGATGCTGGAGCCTCGCGTCACCTTTGATACTATTGACGAGCTGCGCGTCCTTCTGCAAGCCCCGAACCTTAGAGGTCGTACTCGTTCCGAAAAGTTTCGTGATCGGTGAAAACGCCCCCTTCAGCATCACGGAAATTTTGGTCATGGCTCCCCTCTCCTCGTCCTCTGCGACAGCGCCCTCTGTAGCTGTGATGGCTCCTTTCAGGCGCCTGTAAGAAATCGTACTCTCCCGGTTGACGCTCGAAGCAGCTTTCTCGCTGGTGGTAAGGCCCTGTACACATGCTGCTAAGGCGAGTACTAGCACAACCAGAACGAAACTCGAACGCATAACCTTCTGCTGGACGTTGCTACCCGTAGCTGTGGGTGCTTGGAAATCGATTGGAAAATGAGCCATTCAAGGCGCAAAGCCTCTCGCTTTTCTCAGCGTTCAAACAGCAACAACCAAGTTGGTTACCAACCCCGCAGTGCCCGCTACAATGACAAGGCGGTGCAAATCGAAACGTGCACATAGAGCTCTCTTAAGACAGAAACCCGCCTTAGAATGAGTTCCAGATGACCAACAACATACTTAATGCAAGTCTGTTTCCTCTAGCCCCGTGTATAACACCTCTTTGGCAAATCGGAGAAGCAATTCTTATGCGTTCCTAGACGGACGAATTTACACCTTCTTCAAGTGTGAACTTTTGTGGCATCAGAAAAGAATCGACGAAGTGCCGGAGCGATCGCGTATTATAGAGAAAGTCAACAGGATGCTTAAGTCGGTCACATTCGACCCGAACAGCTTCAACGGTTGGCAGTAGCGCTCACGCATCACTTACAGTATTATAAATCACAGTTTTGCAGTCAACAGTGTGGTTCTGTTTGCATGCACCTGCGATCAACACAACACAATGCACTTTGAAGTACATGTACCGGTGCAGGCTGCACCCGCTGCACCGTGCAGCGAGTTTTTTCAATCAAATATTTTCATCGTGCTATTTTCGTAAACAGGCCGCTTAAAAATTGGACGGTGATACTGCCCATGTTCAAAATCATGGAACCCTAAATGATGATACAGGATTCATCTCATGTTTTGGCCAGGATTCAGAAAACTCATCAAATCGGATACTTTATTTACGCAAGATTTGAAAGTATCTTTGTATCTTCGGCGCCATATTTTTATAGAGCCCGAAACGCAGCACATGTACAAAAGTCCATGATCGTCTATAATTTGACGTGGATAGTCCATGACTGCTTGAAAAGATTTCGACAAGGTACTGATGAGCAACACGCTAACTCACGTCGATGCAGAAAGAGATAATGAGTCAAGTTAAAGCGATGACGTGTATTAGCAATTAATTACCCCAAGGAGCAGGTGCTTCGCACACACGCACTAGCTGACCGCTTTATGGTGCACGCAGCACGCTCCACTTGCGCTACCTCGTACCTGAAAATGTCCGCCACGTCAAACATCCCACATCTCTGCTCTAAACCGTAGCGGTCTGTGTTACCGGCAGAGATTTGTCGTCGTCATATTGGTCTAGGACAGGTGCAGCTACTTGTGGTTGCAGCGGAAGCAATCGCCCGGTGAGAATATAGTACATCAACTCAAACCGGCGCGCAACGAGGCCATGGGTGCTCATATCAGTCGGGAGTCCTGGCGTGGCGTTCCGCATAAAAGACCAGCACACAAATGCGCCGCAGCTGTGTAGATCAAATTGGATTGGGCTCTGCATGTGATACTTATCAAAGTTTCTGAGAGCCTCGACTTGAATGCAGATGCTCGACACAATCTCTTCGCACGCGCGTATGTACGCCTTAGTGTTGAGCGGGTCGTAAAACAGGATCCGCTTGGCACTCCGCTTCACCACGATGCCGCACCAATGCTCGTTCTCGTAATTAACCGAGATCAGAATCGTGTCCACCTCGTCCATACTACACAGCTCACGGAGTCTAGTCGCGACCTCAGGGCTGACCGCTTGGCTGGGCTGCGCTCGTGTGCGCCGCTTGGTTTCGGTGGCCTTCTGGTCTCCGGCAAAGCGGCACGTCGGAAAGTCCATTTCCAGTCGAGAACACAAGGCACGAATAGCAGCATCGGTCATCCAAAATGGCGGGACGGCCGTGTAAACTGACATGCACCGGTTTTCCGAACGTTTCGGCAGACCCGGGAGCCAATCGTCTGGGTAACGTTTGCACGCGTACTCTGCGGCATAACGCACCGTGTCGTGGTACGCTGCAGGCATCGCCGAGAGAGCGATATGCAACCTGCCGAGGTTGGGGGAGATCGGCTGAAGTGCTCGTCCATCTGCAACAATCATGGATCAATCATGGATAAAACATGGGCACGCTAGCTAGCTCAGTTAAAGATGCGCATTACCGTCTCATTACTTACCTCTCGTCTATGCGATTCCAGGGAATGACGTTATCCTTCACACCCGTATGCTTGCGATACGCAATGACATGGCGGCATGGAAGCCGCATAGATAATGCAAACTCACAGTTGCATGTCCAGTCGATCAGCTGGATCCGGTGTACGTGCTTCTTACCACTCACCGTTACGACACCTGGCTCGACTGGCTCCGGCTCGAACCTGTACGTGTCAGCCTTATGAGGACCAGCGGCATACTGAGGCTCCACTACTTTGGCTGCATGGTGGGTGGTGAAACGCAGCACCATTGCCATCGCTTTGTCGTAGTTAGAGTTGACAAAACGACCGACCTTATCGTGCTGGTGGCGATACTCGCTCTCCTCCAGCATATCGAATTCCACTAGTGCCTCGATGCACGCTGACATCCTGGTAGAGGTCTTGACCTCGGTCTTAAACTAGCCAAACCAACTCTCCAGATGGTTGTTGGTGTGTACGCGGAAGTGCGGAAGCTTGTTGCGGTGCCACAGAACCCACATGTCCTTGCACGAGTCCCAATTACGCTCGAAGTAATTGTAGAAAGCCTCCATATCCAGGGTTTCCTAGAATAGTATTGCAATTATATGGTAAACAACTGATGAAATATATAATGGTGAGCATGGTAGAGCCGACATGAAATACATTATTGCACCCTTGACAAAGATGAAATACATTATGCATACCTCAAATTCAATTCTGCTTACCAACCATCTGCACCATTGCCACGTTCCAATATCGGCGATTTGTCTTGAGAAATAGGATGTTTTCCAGTTGGGCCGGCGCCATGGCTTGCCGCTGAGGAGACAACACGATTCCAGCTTGGCTAAAAAAACGTTCGGCAATATTAGACGTCGGTGGAATGTATTGCACCAACTCGTATCTGTTCATATACAAAAGGAATTGGTCAAATTGACATGACAACGACATTTAAAAAGCTCCTACCTCGGTTGCTGTTGCGCATCCACCTTCCGCTTCTTAAGTGCTTGCTCAGCAAAGCTGAGCTTTTTATTTTCCTTGTTGGCTGCGGCATGCTGAGGTTGGATTAAGGCTGGAGCAGCAAATTGAGGCGCGACAGAGTTTCGCGTCAAAAGCCGAGTCTCTCCGTTCAGAACTTGTACGCACGCCATCTCGAATATCGGGAACTTGACTATGGGAGCCTGTGGAGCCAGATAGCTCCCTAGGGATGGTGCTTTTTCCATGAGGCTGTCAAACAAAGCACGAACATCTGCCAGCGTTAAGTTACCTTCCTCCTGGAGCTTCTTGCTTACCGACTCAAAATCCTTCAGATCGTCAAGCGTTGAACGCAGCTGCCTCTCTTCCAGTGGGGATGGCATGTACGCTGCTGAGTCGTCATCCGCGGAGTCCAGGAAGGGCTTGAGCTTGAAGTAGCGTTCCACCATGGAAAACGTGGAGGACCATCGAGTCTTTTGCCGAATAACTGGCCGGAGTGGTGTTTTGTGTCTATGTAGTCCGCATGAAAACAAATTAAATAAAACTCGGATATAGAATAAAACTCAGATACGGCTTACCTTAACTTTGCCGACTGATTGAGACCACGCAGGAACTTCATAAGATCGTTGATTTTCTCCAGAATGTCTTCATACTCGTCCAGATACTGGGTCATAGCGAGATTTAGTCGATGGCTGGCACAGCCGACCAACGGAATCCCCAGCTTTGACGCGATGCTTCCATTGACGGAACAGTTGTCGCCGACCAGGAAGCGGACACATTCGATGCGCCGCTTCAACGGCTTTAAAATCGTCTTGAGGAACGCAACATGTGCATCAGCATCGTGATGGGGATGGTTGTTGCAGTCTTCCTTGTCTAGTAGAGGCGCCATCGCCAATAGTACAGTCTCCCGCTTACCATCATGACCAAAAGCGGCAAAGACCCCCACGTAATGTTCACTTTTGAAAGACCACCCGTCAAATACGATACCAAATCTTTCAGGGAGAAATTCGCTGAACGTGCGCAGCACTTCCTGGCAAACAGCTGCCATGTAGTGGACCAAGGTATCATCACATATGGGCTTGAGGGTCGTGTAGCGTCGCGTTAGGCTGTTCTCGCAGAATGAGAGCGGCAAGTTAGCATCAACAATCCACTCTAGCCATCCAAATATATTGACGCTCTTTTTGTCTACGAACGACAAGAGTGTGCCATTGTTGCCGCCTTGAAAACTGTCTAGAGTAGTTTCATAATCAGGATGTTGACTATAAATGTGGTTGATTAGGTTCGTGTAGCCACGTTTGGCGTCCTGTTTCCGCTGTACGCCGCAGCGACATCGATAGAAACCCATACAGTCGTCATTCTCGTCACGGATTGGCTTGAAAAATACATCGCAGATCTGCTTTCTGGTGTAGCGAGAAACTGGTGATCGCGTTGGGGAGAGAAGATTATCCATGCCAGCACGGAATTTACAAATGAGCCTGGCCTCAGCTCAGAGCAGCAGCATGAACGGTTGGTTGTCGAGTAGCTCCAGCGGCCGCTTTCTTATTGGTTACTAAGTAATACAATAGGGTTATGATAAGTAAATTTTTGATTTCAAAATGACAAAATATGTTACTCTGGACTAAATCTACCGAAATAAGTTATTGACGGGGGAGTCGTGCGGCTCGAAATACATAATGGTATGGCATAATATGGCAATTATTGCTTATTACAATATATTTTTAGGAAACCCTGTCCATATCCATCCTGGAGCATAAACCTTGCAGTGCTGACTTGTGTTGCTCGTACTCGTCGTTGACGGGCGCGTAAATCATACTATGGATGGCCGCATCGATCTGAGAGGAGTCTTGTGTCAACAATTTGGGTTACTCCGGTTTCGCCCGCTTCTCCTTCAGGTACTTGATCACATGAAACACACATATCAGTATCTGGGCCTCAGGAAAGTGGCTGCGCAAAATGCGAATCTCGTTTAGATCCTTATCCACCATGATCACACG